AGCAAGCCCCACTCAGGGCGCTGGGGGTACAGCAGTGACCATGTTACCAGTGAATGGCAGGGTTCTTCACGCAAGAAAGAATTCAGGTGTGAGGCAGTAGTGGAAAGTAGAAGTAGCAAAGTTTATGAGGGTAGGGACAACCGCAAGAACGGATGGGCACCTCTCCAGACAGGACCTGGGGGAGAGAGCCGTCGCTCGGACAGGGGAAAGAGCGAGGTTACATGGTTGAGTGGAGAGATGACACCTGGCCAGGCAGGTGGGCGACTCAGCATAGAGGCAGAGGGCTGAGCGCGCCGTCCGCTGACTGGTGGAGGCCAGGGTGTTTAAGGAGATGGGCCTTTGTCTTCACACATCTCCCGAAACAAAGGATTTTATGGATGTGAATATTAAAAGCTCCTATCTGAGTTTTCCCTTGAAGGTATCAGACAGGAGGAGGGTTCAGAGGAAGGGTGAGCAGGACCCCCTAGAGAATGGGGATCCGGAGCAGGGTGTTTGAGATGCAGATACTGGGCTGCACCTGGAAGGTTATCAGGCAGAAGGGGCGGGGACCCCCACCTGGCAGGTTATCGGGTAGGAGGGGGCAGGGCAGGATGCGAACACTGGGCTTTGGGATGACTGAGATGCAGATGCGTATGCTGGCATAGACGTCTTCTCTTTAGGCCTTTATGTCACACACACACATAAGCTCATATCTGACTTCCTACCTAACAACCACAGACCCTACACTCCGGGAGGTTGCAGTGGGTGGGCCGTGTAACAACCACAGACCCTACACTCCAGGAGGTCGCAGTGGGTGGGCCGCATGGACGAGTAAATCGGCCAATTAAAGCCCACTGTACAGTGTCCTGGTGGAGACACGGAGGAGGGGACTCGCCCCCAGCTGCGAGGGTGTCCCTAGGGTAGGACACCCCGGTGAGACCAGGTGGGTGAGGAGAAGCGGCGCCAAAGACGAGGGCGCCCCAACTCCCCTTGTCCTTAGAGGGAAGGGCTTCCAAGATTGGGGGGCTGCCCACAGGGACGCCCGGGGCCCAGAGGCAGCCCGTGAGGGAGGCAGGGGACACTGCGACGGCCGCCAGAGACGCCCTTTCCGCCCCATTCTCACCCCCTCCACAACAGACAGCCTGGGGCCTCGCTCACCTCCGAGGCTGTGTGTGATCTAAGCCTTCAGCCTCGACTCCCTTTTCTGAAAAATGCCACTTCCAACCCACCCGCGTCCCGCTCTGGCCTGGGGACCCTGGACTGTTTGGAGATGAGCTTTCGCGGGGGGTTGGGGGGAGGGTAGGTCCAGCAGGGCTGTGGCCTCGGGAGACAGGCGGTCTGGCAATCTGGATTCCCAACTCCGTCCCGTTCCCCAGAGTCAGGGATGAATTCCACCCACTATGCCTTTGGAAAACTACACTTCCCGGCATGCAAAGGGAGGCAGTGGGCTTGGGGGACTACGACTCCCAGCATGCCCCGCGGCCAAAGCCGGGCGAGCCCGGACCCGGAACCGGATGTGCCTTGCTGCTCCGGTGGCGGAGCGCTGGGGCCATGGTGAGACTGGGACCTGGTGCCGGGGAGTGCAGGGCGTCCGGGGGTGCGGTCCCGCGTCTGCTTGGGAGCTGGAGCTCGGGCATTCGGAACGCGTATTGCTCTTCCGACGGCACACGTAGGGCAGGAGACGCCGGGGCCGGGCGCTCGCTCCCAGCTAGGAACTGCCCCGGTCAGACCCGCGGACAGCCGTGGGCTGGGCAGTGCAGCGCGCGAACAGTCCTCCCTTTCCTCCAGGCCACGGGGACAGACCAGGTGGTTGGACTCGGCCTCGTCGCCATTAGCCTGATCGTCTTCACCTACTACACCGCCTGGGTGATTCTCCTGGTAGGTCCGCCTCCCCGCCCTCGGCGTCCGCCATCCTTGGGTCGGGGGCCCGGCGCTGCGCGTGGTGCTGCGTTGTGTCGATGGGAAAGTTGTGGCTCGGAGACACGCGTGGCCTCAGTTTGCTTTTTCTTAATTTTGAGTTTTACTTACGTGAAAAGCAGAGACAGACTGCAGGATTTTGCATCCTCCGGTTCACTCCCCCAAATGGCCGCAGCGGCTGGGGCTGGGCCGGTGTGAAGCCAGGAGCCAGAACTCCATTCGGGTCGCCTGCACCCCAGTTCCTAGGCCGTCATCCGCTGCCGCCCAGGGCGTGCGTTAGCAGGAAGCCGGATGGAGAGCGGAGAGTGACTGCAGCGGGGTGCCAGGGTCCCTAAGCCACGGCGCCACAGCGCCACAGCTTTCTGGTCTTTTGAAGACTTTATTTGTTTGAAAGGCAGAGAGCGAGCGAGAGATCCTCCATCCGCTGGGCGACTCCCCAGATTCTCTCAATAGGCCAGGCTGGGCCAGGTCCGGGCCGTGAACCAGGGACTCCATCTGAGTTGCCCATGTGGGTGGCAGGACCCAGATGCCCGGGCCATCATCTGAGCCTCCCGGCCGCATTAACCAATCAGGAGAGTTGGCGGGCCTGGGACCAGGATGCAGGGGTGGGGTAGCAGCGGCTTGCCCTCCTCCCTCCCGGCCGCTGATACCTGTTAGCTTTGCCCCTGAGGGAAGTCCCGGTCCTTCCAGCTAGCCTGCTGGCCCCTGGGCTTGGGGAGCACCCGTGGGCTTTTTCAGTTTCTCATGGAGATTTGGTGGCTCCTGCTTGGGAGGTGCAGGAGCCCAGCTTGGGAACGGGCCCCCTGCTAGGCTGTGAGTGCCTTAGGGCAGGTCCCCAGCCCCCAGTCTCGGGGCGGCTGGCACCAAGTGCGGGCCCAGCAAAACACCCATCAGACAAGGACGGCCAGGCACCAGAGCGCCGCCGTCAGGAAGCCAAGAAGCACCCCAGTGCTCTGGGCGGGGGAGAGGGGACGGTGTGGGGGCCCGGGGAGCGGTGCTCAGCAGAGCTCTGCCTCGGCGCCAGCCGTTCATCGACAGCCAGCATGTCATCCACAAGTACTTCCTGCCGCGAGCCTATGCCGTCGCCATCCCGCTGGTCGCGGGCCTCCTGCTGCTCCTGTGTGTGGGTGAGTGGTCGCCAGCCCTGCGCGTCTGAGCACGCCTCCACGCGGGACTCCTCCACCCTCAGGACCGCGTGCCGGTGCCGTGGTGCCGGCGGCCCCCTTTCCCTGCCCGCACCCCCGTCATCCCTGCGCTCACGCCTCGGCCCTCCCTCGGCCTCCTGCAAGCCTGCCTCAGAATTCTGGCACCTCTCATCTCTCGTGGCTCCCTGAGGGCTTCCCGGGGGAGGGGGCTGTGTCCTGACGCCAGCACGGGCCGCGGCGTGAATAGGGGCTCCAGAGGGTGGTTAGGATGGTGACTGGGTGGGCAGGTGGCTGACGGGCGAGTGGCCGCTGCACGGGTGGTGCTTTTTGAATGAGCATGCGCGCGTGCGTGTGTGCGTGCGTGGTGGAGGACTGATGGAGACAGCAGGCGGCCTGGAGGGTGGTGGGTGGGTGCCGGCCCTGGGTGTGGGTTGTCCCGCCCTGCAGCCCTGAGCCCTCGTCTTCCTGGCCCTGCCGACTGTGTGTTCCAGGACTGTTCATCACCTACGTGATGCTCAAGAACCAGAGGGCGGCCAAGAAGGCGCAGTGAGGACCCAGTGAGGAGAGGCCCGGGCAGGGCCGAGTGGCCGCCCTGCGCACCTCCCTGTGGGGCGGAGCTGTCCAGCACCCACTCCTGAGCGACAGGACCCAGCCCCGCCCGCCCTGCCGGAAGCCAGCGGCGGGAAGGGACCTGGAACGCGGCCCTGTCCTCCGTCTCGCGGCCTGACAACTGCCGCCCCCCCCCCCCCCCCCCGGGTTCTGCCCGCAGCCTCAATGTCCCCTCCTGTCACACACCAGCGTTGACTTGGCGGTTCTGGGGCAGGCGACCCCTCCGCGACGCAGCCCAGACCCCACGAGGACGTCTGGACTTGGAAAGCCCTGGGGGAGGATGGACGGACCTCTGGGCCACCCCCAGGCCCCCAGCCTCAGCCCCTGGCTGGCCACTGGGAGACTCTAACAATAAACACCGATCAGGCGCCGGGTCTGTGCTGTCCTTGGCCAGGGGAGCTGGCCAGAAGGGCTGGGCTTGGCGTTGGCCCCGGCCTTGGTCTCTGGTCGGGAGACCCTGGTTTGGGCAGTCTGCCTCTCGGCCGCACCTGTACTGGGAATGGATGAGGTTGAACCCAGAGTGCCCACAGCTGAGGAGTCACCCTGGCCAGGAGGGACTGGTCCCTTAGGGGCCCTTAGAAGCCCCAGCCTGTCTCCCATCTCACACCCAGCGTCCCAGTTAGCACGGCCCTGGAAAGCAAGGGCCGCCCCCAGTGTTTGGTTGACAGGGCCAGGCTGGGTGGCGAGCCCCCCGTGCCCGGGCTGCAGCCCTGTCCTTGACACCGTGCTGAGCTGACCCTCCATCACGAAGCCCTGCACGTGGTCCCCCGTCACACGCGAGAGGCTGGCTGCAAACACACTGTCCTGTGCTGCCCTCCAGGGCTAACTCCCCTCCCTGAGGGAACAGCCCCTGCCCTGGACCTCCCAGTGTCGCTGAGCTTGGTCCAGGGGCCCCCGTTAACCCAGCAGCTCCCTCTGGGTGTCTCCACCCCACCCCCCATCCCCCCTTCTCCAAGGGCTGCACTCACTGAGGCCGCTGCAAAACCATTTGTTTGAAGTGGTGGGAGATGGCGACAGCTTCCATGCGCGGGCGTTCGCTCCCCAAGTGGCCGCGACAGCCGGGGCCAGGCCAGGGTGAAGCCCGGAGTCAGGAGCACTCGGGCCGCCGTCCTCCGCTGCGTTCCCAGCGCGTGAGCAGGAGCTGGGCCGCACGAGGAGCAGCCGGGACTCAGCCGGCGCCCCCGTGGGATGCCGTGACCACCCACGGCACCATGATGCCAGCCTCAGCCAGTGGCTTTTGAAGAACGCATAGCTGGGCATCGGACACTCAGGATCGCCTAGAACGCCCCTCGGGCTCCCGCCCCTCCTGCCCTCCAAGGCCCTGCGTGCTGGGTCCAGCCGCTCTGGCCGTTCACGAGGCAGAGCCCCTGCGCACCGTACTCGCACCGCTGCAGCACACACTGCGCAAGCGCCGGCTCCTGCCAGGCCGCGCCTCAGACAGACCGACGTGGGTCCTAGTGGGAGGGGGGAAGTGTAGGGAACAAAACAAAAAGGGAACGGGACGATCCCTGCCAGCGTGAGGGGTGACCAGGGGGAGAGCAGGGGGCGTTGGTTAGCGGCAGGCAGGCAGGAACAAACCACGTGGAAATCTGGAGGGACGGAATTTTTTAAAAATCTATTTTAAAGGCAGAGTTACAGAGAGGAAGAGGTGGTGAGAGTCTTCCATCCACTGGTTCACTCCCCAAGTGGCCACAACGGCCGGAGCTGAGCCGATCTGAAGCCAGGAGCTGCTTCTGGGTCTCCCACGTGGGTGCAGGGGCCCAAGGACTTGGGCCATCTTCCACTGCTTTCCCAGGGCACAGCAGAGAGCTGGATCGGAAGTGGAGCAGCCAGGACTCGAACCGGCGTCCACAGGGGATGCCGGCGTGCTGCAGGCGTGGCTTTGCCTGCTACATCACAGCGCCGGCCCCAGAGGAAGGGTTTTCAGCAGAGGGAACCTGGAACGCAAAAGCTAGCAGTGAGAGTTGGTGGCTAGGGAGCAGCAGGGGCCGAGCGACTGGGTGGTGGGTGCGGGGGCAGGGGGCAGGTGCGCCTGGGGCCATGGCGGGGTTGAGGCCTTGTCCCAGCGCCCTGGAAGCCGCTGGAGGCTCATGCATTCGTGACATCATCCGACGTGTGCTGGCAGCTGTGTCCCTCCCTCCCGGTCACCACTAAACCACCGGGGCCTATCACTGCTCCCGGCCCAAAGTGGGTGTTGAAACTAGATGTGCGGAATGAGTGGACGCCCTGACTTCCCCTGCGACCTGGAGGGAGTCGCCTTTCACTGGATCTTGGCTTCGACGGGAATCTGACGCGTGGGTGGGCGGGATAGGATTTAGGATACCCACCTTCCCAGCCGGGCCCAGAGCCCCGAGCGCCCCTCTCGGGCGGGAGGGAACGCAGGGCCGTTGGGGGGGGGGGGGCGGGGACGAGTCTCCCTCCCGGAGACCCCAGCCAGCGCCCGGCGGCCCCGCCCGGACCGCGGTCCGAAGGATGCTGCAGCCGCGGGGGCGGGACCCGCAGGCGCTCGTCGGCGCCCCCCGACGCCGATTGGGCGCAGCCGTGACCGGCGCCGCACGATTGGCCAGTGGCGAGGCAGGGGCGGGGCCTGGATCCTGCAGCCGGGCGGCGGGGGACGCGGCCAAAACCCGGGCAGCTGCTGCGGGGCGATGGCCGCGCCGAGCCCGGGGCCCCGCGAGGTAAGTGCGGACCCACGGGAGAACAGGAGAGGGCAGGGGGCGGGCCTCCCTTCCGCGAGCGGCGCGAACACGCCCCCATCCCAGTCAGGGAGGGGCCCTGGGCCATACGGGGCGCGGGTATGAAGGGGGTGAGCTGGGGGGTAGCCCGCGAGGTCTTCCTCAGTTTCCCCATTGGGAAAATGGACATGATCATGGTGATAGAGGCTCCTTCCGAGGCATGCGGGGAGGCCACTTCTGGGCACGTGGCGAGGCCCACTGGTGACTGGTCAGCTGGCGCTAGACCCGAAGAATGGACTTGGAGCCCAGCCTGGATAATGACCACAGCTAGTGAGCACCTGTCGTTGTTTCAGATCTCTTAGGGATGAGAGGGTGAGGCCTGGAGAGGCTGCATGACTTCCCCCGAGCGCACACGGCTGGCGAGATCTGGCCACGCTCGGGGCGGGCTGGACCACAGCACACATTCCCCACCCACGGGCGCCAGTTACCATCAGGCTGTTTGGGTGCTGCCGGGCTGCCGGGTGCGGTGCCACCCCTCCCGACACCTGCCGAGACGGTGGCAGAGAGTGAGGGGGAGCGGACTCAAAAGTAGCAGAAGTGGGAATTGAACCTGGGTCTTATGCCCTCTGAGATACTGCCACGTGCTCTTTGCTTCCCGTGCCTTCCCCCACCAGGTGCTGACCCCCTCCCCAGAGGCTGGACACAGAACAGCCGCCTTGCGCTCCAGCCGCCGTGGGCTCCTCTGGCGCCTACGGGACAAGCAGGCTCGCCTGGGTCTGTTTGAGATCGGCCCGGGACATGAGCTGCATGGGCTGACATGTATGATGCAGGCAGGGCTGTGGGCTGCCACCCAGGCCGCCATGGACCACCCGCCCACGGTGAATGGCCAGCCTGCCTCCCGCACCCCCACATCGACCGCGGGGCCCAGCTGATGCCCTGTCTCGCTGATCATGGGGAGCAGAGAGGGTCACCACGAGGACGAGGGGAGGGAGGGAGGTCTGGGTGGAAGCCGGATGCCCAGGGTGTCCAAGCTGACCCAGTGTTTGCTGTGGCTGCAGATGGGCCCTGCCTCTGTCTGGGCTTCAGTGGCCCCGGCGGCACAATGGGTGGAGGGGATAGTGACCTTGGTTTCTGGGCACCCCCACCCCAGCCCTGCCAGGGTGGACGATGAGAAGGGACCCCACCCCCACCCTGCCTGCCTTGCCCATCCTCCCTGAAGCCAGGCGGGGGCCCGGCTGGCTCAGCAGAAAGGGTCACCCGTCTGCAAGCTCAGCAGCTGGGCAGGGCTGGGTGAGCATGCGTGCCCTGTGTGCATGTGTGTGTGCACAGGGCTGGGTGAGCATGTGTGTCCTGTGTGTGCATGTGTGTGTGTGCACAGGGCTGGGTGAGCATGTGTGTCCTGTGTGCATGTGTGTGTGCACAGGGCTGGGTGAGCATGTGTGTCCTGTGTGCATGTGTGTGTGCACAGGGCTGGGTGAGCATGTGTGTTCTGTGTGTGCACAGGGCTGGGTGAGCATGTGTGTCCTGTGTGTGCATGTGTGTGTGTGTGCACAGGGCTGGGTGAGCATGTGTGTCCTGTGTGTGCATGTGTGTGTGTGTGCACAGGGCTGGGTGAGCATGTGTGTCCTGTGTATGCATGTGTGTGTGCACAGGGCTGGGTGAGCATGTGTGTTCTGTGTGTGCACAGGGCTGGGTGAGCATGTGTGTCCTGTGTGTGCATGTGTGTGTGTGCACAGGGCTGGGTGAGCATGCATGTTCTCTGTGTGTGTGCACATGGTTGGTTATGTGTGTCCTGTGTGTATGTGTGTGTGCACAGGGCTGGGTGAGCATGTGTGTCCTGTGTGTGCATGTGTGTGTGCACAGGGCTGGGTGAACATGCATGTCCTGTGTGCATGTGTGTGTGCACAGGGCTGGGTGAGCATGTGTGTCCTGTGTGCATGTGTGTGTGCACAGGGCTGGGTGAACATGTGTGTCCTGTGTGCATGTGTGTGTGCACCGGGCTGGATGAGCATGTGTGTCCTGTGTGTGCATGTGTGTGTGTGCACAGGGCTGGGTGAGCATGTGTGTCCTGTGTGTGCATGTGTGTGTGTGCACAGGGCTGGGTGAGCATGTGTGTCCTGTGTGTGCATGTGTGTGTGCACAGGGCTGAGTGAGCATGTGTGCCTGTGTGTGCACAGGGCTGGGTGAGCATGTGTGTCCTGTGTGTGCATGTGTGTGTGTGCACAGGGCTGGGTGAGCATGTGTGTCCTGTGTGTGCATGTGTGTGTGTGCACCGGGCTGGGTGAGCATGTGTGTCCTGTGTGTGCATGTGTGTGTGTGCACCGGGCTGGGTGAGCATGTGTGTCCTGTGTGTGCATGTGTGTGTGTGTGCACAGGGCTGGGTGAGCATGTGTGTCCTGTGTGTGCATGTGTGTGTGCACAGGGCTGGGTGAGCATGCATGTTCTCTGTGTGTGTGCACATGGTTGATTGAGTATGTGTGTCCTGTGTGTATGTGTGTGTGCACAGGGCTGGGTGAGCATGTGTGTCCTGTGTGCATGTTTGTGTGTACCGGGCTGGATGAGCATGTGTGTAAGGGGCCACTGTCCATCCCTCCACTAGTGGCTTCAGCCACCTGGGCCCTCCTTCCCTTGCTGGTGGCCATCAATGCTGTTTCCACCGCCATGATCACCCCTCCCTACTACCCAAAGGTGTCAGCCTAGAGGTCACCTTGCCAGGGAAGCCTCCTCAGAGCCCTCCCAGGCTGTGTCAGACATACCGATGACTTCAGGACTGTCCCTTTGTGCTGGGATGGAACCTGGCCTCACTTGCCCCTTGTGTGTCTGGGAGCCTAGAGACACGTGCCAGGCTTGCACACAGAGCCGGGTACTGGGGACACAGCATCAGACACCCACCCTCCCCAGAGGCCGGCTCCCCAACCCAAGCACCCTCAGGGACAACTTGGGTCCCTGTTTGCTGAAGGAATCCAGTGTGGGGTGGGGTCGGGGCAGGGAGCAAGGTCAAGTGCGAGACAGCTGGAGCCTCTGGGAGGGTAGGGCAGTGGGCTCAGCCTTGCCCTGACCTCCTCCACCCCTCCCTGCAGGGGCTGCCCACCCAGGAGGATTTCTCCGAGGTCCTGACCCAGGTTCACGAGGTAGGCAGTCAGGAGTCCTGTATGGGAGGGGCCTCATCCCCCACCCCCGCCCCCATTGCCTGTGCTCCTGGGAAGGGCGCGGCCTCCGGAGCCGGCTGCGCGCCCCTGGACCCACGGGGCCTTTGGGGCTCTTTTTCAGGGCTTCGAGCTGGGCACTCTGGCGGGCCCCGCCTTCGCCCGGCTGCGCCGCTCGCTCGGCCTGGTGGAGGAGGACTACCAGGCGGCGCTGGGCCCCGGAGGGCCCTACCTGCAGTTCCTCAGCACCTCCAAAAGCAAGGCCAGCTTCTTCCTGTCGTGAGCTAGAGGCAGGGGCGGGGCGGGGATAGGGATGGTGCCCGGGGAGGGGGCGGGGAGGGGGAGGCCAGAGGGAGTCCGGTGGGGGAGGGGCGAGGGGCAGGAGGCCAGGCCCGGGAGAGAGAGGGCCACGTGCACAGGCGGGGCAGTGACCTCGGCCTCCTGCTCGCAGCCACGACCAGCGCTTCTTCCTGAAGACCCAGCGGCGCCGCGAGGTGCGGGTGCTGCTCGCCCACCTGCCCCGCTACGTCCAGCACCTGCAGCGGCACCCGCACTCGCTGCTCGCTCGCCTCCTGGGTACGCGGGGCCCCGCCCCCAGAGGCGGGGCCTAGAGGGCCGGGCATGGGATTGCCTAGTCCTGGGGGCGGGGCTGCGTCTAGGGATGGGGTGGAGTCCAATCCCCCCAGGACCCCGGTTGGAGAGGGGCGTGGGGTGGGCCTGGCGGGGCTGGCTTAGGATCCGGTGGATCTGGTGGAGGGGGCGAGGCCCGGAGCGGGGCTTGGCGCCGGGGTGGCCCGGGTTGTGCAGTTTGGGGCCCTCACCTGGCGTCCTCTCCCCTTCCAGGAGTGCACAGTCTGCGGGTGGCCCAGGGCAAAAAGGTGGGTGAGGCCGAGGAGGGGCGGCTGCAGCGGGGACGCGCCGGGCTCCCCTCACCGCGCGCTCCCGTCCCCAGAAATACTTCATCATCATGCAGAACGTCTTCTACCCCGCCGGCCGCATCTCCGAGAGGTGAGTGTCCCCCGGCCCCGGCCCGGGCCCCGAGCGCCCGCGGGGCGGAGGGTCCAGGAGGGGGCCCGCGCTGCGCTGCGCGGATTGCAACCGGCCTCCCCGCTCCCGCAACCCCGCGAGGGTGGGGGTTGCAGCCCCTCCGGTTTACAGACGAGAAACAGGACGGTGAAGGCGAGGGCGCGCGGCGCTCGGGGATCCAGTGCCAGCCTCGCTGACCGCTGACCGGTCGACCGCACGCAGCGCGGTGCCTTCCTCGCTAGCCCCCCACCTCCCGTGGGCTCCCCTCTAGCCCCCTGGCTGGATCGCTGTGTCGGGAGGGCGGCGCCAAGGCGCCCCGGGGCAGGCTGCCCAAGCCCTGAGCGCGAGCCCCTTCCTCGCCGCTCGGCTGGCATCTCTGACGCGGGGCTGCGCAGACCCGGGGTGAGGTCCCCAGGTGGTTAGGCCCCCGGTGAGCCCGGGGCCCGCCTGGCCGCGTTGCCCAGGTGCCTGAGGCCACTAAAGCTGCCCCGTCCGCTCCACCTGCCAGGTATGACGTCAAGGGCTGCCAGGTGAGCCGCTGGGTGGAGCCGGGCCCCGCGGGCAGCGCCGTGGTCCTGGTGCTGAAGGACCTCAACTTTCAGGACAAGACGATGGAGCTGGGTGAGCCCTGCCTGCCCTGCTCCTCTCAGGGCGAGGGGTGCCAAAGTGCCCGGACCCTGCCTCTCCTAAGCCCTTAGGAGCCCAGATTCTGAGGCGGGGCTGCTCTGAGCCCAGCTCCCCGCTCCTGCCCCGCGGCGCTAGCGAAGGGGCACACCTCGGCGCGTGAGGCCGGGACGGTGAAGCCACACGCCCGCCCGAGCACCCCTCCCGCCCTGCTGCTCCCCAGGCCCCCAGCGGAGCTGGCTTCTCCGCCAGATGGAACTGGACACCGCCTTCCTGCGCGAGCTCAACGTGCTGGACTACAGCCTGCTGCTGGCCCTGCAGCGCCTGCGCGAGGACGAGCGGGGCCAGGCCGGCAGCCTCGTCTTCCGCGTGGCCAGGTGAGCCCCCCCCCCCCCCCCCCTCCGGCCAGGGGACGCAGCCGCGCAGGAAAAGCCTCGACGGCTGGGAAGTGCCTTAGAAAGAGCCTTAACCCCTCCTCCCCCTGCTCACCCCTCCTCACCCCACCCTTCACCCCCTCCTTCCCCTCACCCCTCCCCCTCCTCACCTCTTGCAGGCTGACCGTGAGCAGGGGTAGGGGTCCTTCTCGGTTTGGAGGCGTGAGGTCAGGCTCAGAGGGGCATGGCAGAATGGCTCCCGGGACTCGTGGGTCCTTGGCTAGCTGCATTTCGGCTCTCCAAGGCCAGCCTCCGGGCCTGAAGAGAATTTCCGGCCCACGGAGGTTCAGAGAGGCACGCTGAGAGATGAAAGCCATGGAGCTGGCGGGCGGTCAGGGAAAGGCGAGACCCCTGCCCCGGGGCGCTCGGGCAGAGTGCAGGGTCACGGCTCCACACACAGCCTGTGGCTGCCCAGACACTGGGGCACCTGCTGGGGTTCAAGGCCCCTGGAGTCCGCCCTCTCAAGCCAGGTCCGTTTCTCTCCAGCCCCTACCCCTAGCCAGGTCGCCCGGCTCCGGGTTTACACAGAGTCGTTGTTATCCTGAAATCCTCCTGCTCGCTGTGCCACCACCCAGCCCCCGAACCTCCCATCACCCAGGCCAACCCTGGCACCACCGTGGGCACCTGCACTCAGCCGGCTCCCGGGTCTCTGGGTTCTGATTGGTCGGCGCCGGGCCGGGATCCACTTCTCATTGGCTTGTGGTGTCCGAGTCGCGAAGAAACCGAAATAAAACCTCTCCCTGACTCCCACACACATGTCAAGGTTAGGGGTCGGGGGCTGGCGCTGTGGCATAGTGGATAAAGCTGCCGCCCGCAGTGCTGGATCCCATATAGGGGCCAGTTCTAGTCCCGGCTGCGCCACTTCCCATCCAGCTCTCAGCTGTGGCCTGGGAAAGCAGTGGAAGATGGCCCTGCACCTGCGTAAGAGGCCTGGAAAAAACTCCTGGCTCTTGGCTTCGGATCGACCTATGGCCAATGGAAGACCTCTTTCTCTCTCTCTGCCTCTAACTCTGCCTTTCAAATAAATAAATAAATCTAAAAAAAAAAAAAAAGATTAGGGGCTGGCTCCTGCCTCTCTGGGGCTGGGCACCCAGCCAGGGGCGTCTTCTGGTTTGGAATACCTTTTGAGGCAAAACTACATGTACCTGCAAACGAGGGTTTAGGATTTTTTTCAAAAAGCTGCAGCCCTGCGACCCTGAGACTTCCAGGGTTGGATAATTCCGTTCAAAAATTTAGCAAACAAAACAAAACAAAACAAAACCAGAAACTCACCCAAAGTCGTGGCACTTCAGGCAGAGCCAGGTCTGTGTGACCTGAGGGCTCCAGGCCGGCGCTAACCAATAGAAACAGAATTCAAACTAGGTCTATAAATTTTTAAAGATTTTTTTTATTTGAAAGGTAGAGTTAGAGAAAGAGAGAGAGAGAGAGAGATTCTGTCTGCTGGTTCACTCCCCAGATGACTGCAACAGCTGGGGCTGGAACCTGGAACTCCATCCGGGTCCCACACGGGGTGGGGGGCAGGGACCCAAGCACCTGGGCCACCCTCCGCTGCTTTCCCAGGCGCAGGGGAAGTGGAGCAGCCGGGACTCGAACCGGTGCCCATATGGGATGCTGGCGTCAAAGGCGCGGCTAAACCCGCTACATCACAAACCCGGCCCTTACATCTGCAATTAAAAACAAAAATTGTGGCTTTATTTGAAATGGTAAAAATGACAATATTTTAATACAATGTGTTTAGCACATGCGAGATGCGGTCAGTTCCTCCCGGAATTTGCATACGATGAGTGAGGTGACCGTACACTGTTTTTTCGATCTTTCCTGGAACTTAGGTATGCACCTGTCGGCAGGACGTCCCCGCCGGGGCTGGCCGCGTCCTCAGCGTCCCGGTGGCGGTCAGCGCGGCGCTCGGCGTGAGTCACGCCGCCTCCCGCTCCGCTGTCGTCCCCAGGTCCGTGCAGGGGGCGCAGAGCCCGGAGGCGACGGGAGCCCAGAACCGCAGGCTGCTTCCCGACGGCCCCAATGCCCTGCACATCCTGGACGGCCCGGAGCAACGCTATTTCCTGGGCCTCGTGGACCTGGCCACGGTGTACGGGCTCCGCAAGCGGCTGGAGCACCTGTGGAAGACGCTGCGCTACCCGGGCCGCACCTTCTCCACCGTCAGCCCCGCGCGCTACGCCCGCCGCCTGTGCCAGTGGGTGGAGGCGCACACCGAGTGAGGCGCGCCCGGCTCGCCGGCTGCGCCTCCGCACGCCGCCAGGGGGCGCCGTCGCGCCGCCCCGCGCCAAGGACTCCCCCGCGTTAGCTTATCCAATCCTCAAAAAATGCTCCTGTTCCCTTTAGGCAGACCGTGGCCTGGAGGCTCGGGGACCGAGCGAGATCACTGAGCCGGAAATGCCGGAGCCGGGACTCGACCGTGCCTTTCGGGCTGCGGAGCCTGCGCCCTCAGCCGCGGGCTCCCGCAGTCCTGCCCTGCCCTGGGGGAGGTGGGAGACTGACCACCCCAGCGCAGATGAGGAAGCTGAGGCCCAGAGACCTTAAGGGGCTCCGGCACCGGTAAGTGCAACAGGGTCAGGCCCAAGAGCCCCGGCCCTCTGGTTCCCTGCTCGGGGCTCCTCCAGGGGTGCAGGTGGGAGGAGGCGGGGGCTTCCTGGAGGGGGGTCCCGCTGCTGATCTGCTCTGAGCTCTGCCCTCCGCCCAAGTCACTTTTCCCATCTGTGAAATGGGGGCAGGGCTCAGCAGTCAGACCCCTGGGCCCAGCTTCTTTGCCTCGCGCCACCCCCCCCTCCCCGGGAGACTCCCTGGCCCCTGATCCCCCTTTCTCCTCCTCCAGGAAACTCCGGCCAGGCCTCTGAGCCCCAGCGCCCGCCCTCCCCCGCAGCCGCTCTGTGTGAGAGCAAGGTGCTGCATCTCTGTGCCTCAGCCTTGAACCTGTCCCAGAGGAGGGGAAAAACCCGAGCTCGTGTGCGGGGGCCTGGGGGCCTGCTGGGCGGCCTGCACAGTCTAGGGCGCTTATGTGACCGATGGCATGGGGTGGGGGGGCGTGGGCTCGGACCTCTCGTCGGAAACCAGAGTCAGCCACGGAACCGGAGTCAGCCACAGGACGTGGGAGCCCCCCCCCCAGCACTGCAGGGGAAGGAAGCCTCGGAGTGGGAGGGGACGGCCTGGGGACAGCCCTCAGCGACAGCGCCACCCCGCTGCCTGTCGGGAGCGGCCACAGCCTGCCACGGGCAGGAAGGGCGGTGACGTGGCAGGGCCGGGGCGTGGGTTCCTGGAATACATTTTTTTTTTAAACGTTGACATCACTCCCGGGTTGGCCCTTCCTCGGGTGATGGTTACTCAACCTGTCCACGCGGCGTCAGCCACAGCAGGAAGCTGAGAGCAGCAGTGGCTTCCACGGCGGGCTGGGGAGACCCCGGGGGAGGGGCGGGCCTCGGGCAGGAACCGGGGTCTGCGGCCTCGTGACCCTGGGGGCTGGAGGCCCGGGGCCGAGTCAGCACCCAGAATCCTGCGCTCACGCACGGGCGTCACGGCCCCTGTCCTCCCGAGGGTCTCTGGCCGTGAGCCTTGGCGGGAGGGGGCAGTGGGGGTCCGGGACGCCTGGCTCTCCTGACCTGTTCATTCGGCAGGTGTTTGCACCTCGTGTGTGCCGGGCACGTGCGGGGCCCTGCCTGCCTCCGCACAGGAGCCCACGCTGTAGTGGGCACGGGAACCGTCACACACAGGTGGCCAACACCGTGGAAGACAGAGTCGGGGTGAGACAAGGGGAGGGTGCAGTGGGGGGGGGTTGGCGAGGGCCTTGCCGAGTCGCTCGTGTTCGAGGGACGAGGAGTCGGCCATGTGACCAGAGCAGTTCCGGTAGAGCGGAGAACAAGTGCGAAGGTCCTGAGGCAGGAACGAGGGGTCAGAGGGAGAGAGAGAGAGAGAGAGAGAGAGAGAGAGAGAGGCAGGGGTTCACACTGTGCAGGTTCTTGTAGGCTGAGGTTTTTGTTTTGTTTTGTTTTTGTTCCCAAAACCGAATGGAAGAACTTACCTGGAGCTGCGGGACGCCTGGTCTCAGCTCCGCTGTGGCCTCTGGATCCGCATCTCCCTGGGCGCCCCTGCTCTGTGTGGCCCAGCGAGGAGAGGGTGCTCACCAGCCACTGTGGCCGAGGACTGAGTCCAAGGGAACTGCGCCCCGCGGGGCCCCCAGGGCCGAGTCCTCAAGAAGACTCGACGGACGAGGACACGGGGCCGGCGCTGCGGCACGGGCTGAGCCTCCACCCGCGAGGCCGGCATCCCATACGGCACAGGTTCGAGGCCTGGCGGCTCCGCTTCCAATCCAGCTCCCAGCTGATGCACCTGGGAAAGCAGCGCCCCCCACAGGGGAGACCTGGATGGGGTTCCAGGCTGCGGGCTGGAGATTCGGGGAGTGAACCAGCGATGGAAGATCTCTCTCTCTCTCTCTCTCTCCCTGTCTGTCAGTCTGCCTTCAAATAAATAAAAATGAAATCTTAGAATAAAAGAGGACTTGGGGGAGATGGGAGGGGCTCGGCCTTGGGGACCCGGGTGTCCCCGCCTTGTGTGACAGAGGGGCCGTGGAGAGACTGAGCTCAGACTGCTACTCCCTGGGGCCGCCTAGGCTGGGGCGGGGGGCCGGGGACGACAAGGGGGGGCTTGTGCTGAGACCCCCCGCCCAGGGCAGCAGAGCGTACTGGGAGTTGCCGAGGGGGACCTGAACCCCTGCTGTCCTGCCTACACCTGCACCTGAGGGAAGGAGGGTGGCGTTTGCAATGGGAGCCAGGGCAGAGCCCAGCGGTTCCCAGCCAGGATCCTACAGAGGGCGGGGGAGGGCTGGGGATGCTGAGATGAGCTGTCTGGCCACCGCAGCGATTTGGGGTCTTAGAGACGTGTCTGCACCACCTCCCGATGCCTGGTCCCTCTCTCCTTTCTGCCAGCAGCCTGGCCCCTGAAGCACCTGCGTTTGAAAGCCCCAAGGGCCCCCTCCCTCCGAGACACAGCTCCGTCCGGGGTGGGGGGCTGGCTGAACTGGGTTTGGACAACACTCCAGTGGGGGAAGCCTCGGGAGGCCCAAGCAGGTGGTCAGAGCCCGGCTCTGCGCTGGCACCACCCGGGGTCCCTCCCTGGCTGCGCCATGAGCTGCCCCCGCCCCACGAGGACAGGGCTGCCACCCCCCCACCCCCACCCCCCACTGCACGGAGGAGAGAAGCTGAGACCCAGCCGAAGTCCACAGAGACGCGATCGTGATAAAATAGTTACACTGGGGCCCGTGTTGTGGCGCAGTGGCCAAGCTGCTGCCCCGGACGCCGGCCTCCCCTCCAGAGTCCCGCTCAAGCCTGGCCGCTCCGCGCCGGCTCCCTGCTCCCGAGCCCGGCAGGCAGCAGAGGGCTCAGCGCCTGGGCTCCTGCCGCCCACGCGGAGGACCCGCGCGCGGCCTGGGCTCCTGGCTGCTGCTGCGGCATCCGGGAAATGAAAAACGGAAGGAAGATGCCTCGAGTCCCCCACCCCGCCTCTGCCTTTAAAAATTTCTTTTTAAAAATTACATTAAAACAACTTGGGGGCTGGCTGGTGTTTGGCCTAGCAGTCGCTAGGCTCGCGTTCCATATTGGGGGGCCTGGGGAGTGGTGGGGCAATGTCCCTGTCTCTCTAATACATGAACAGACAACAACCAGAAAATCACACTTGCTTCTTCCTTACTTGAAATTCCAATTTAACCGGGAGTCCTGTATCTCACTTGCTAAATCCAGCGACCCTACCTGCCTGGGCCGGGGTCTGCAGGACCCCAAGGCCTTGTTTAATTTCCCCACGCGCCCCTCAAGTTTAGAAACGGGGACACCGAAGTTCGGGAGCCCGGGCAGCCGCGGCACCCCTAGGTCTCTGCTCCGCGGTTCCGCCACAGCGCAGGCACCCCAACCGCACCCCGCCTCGGCTTGAAAGGCGGGGGAGGCTGGCGCTCAGGCTCCGCCCCCGGCCCGGCGGCCCCGCCCCCCGCCTGGAGGCCTCCCCGCCAGCCACGCACGTCCCGCCCCCGCCGCGCAGACCCCGCCCCGGGTCGCGCCGGCTGCACTCGTAGGCACCGCCCCCGCGCGGAAGACCCCGCCCCCTCCCCGCAGGCTCCGCCCCACCCTCGGCGGCGCTGGGTAGGCTTCCAGTCTCAGAAAGCCGCGGCCGCAGCGCCGCCTCCGCCTCGGGTCCCTGCTTCCAGCCCGGCCCGCCCGGCCCGCAGGTCATGGAGCTCCGAGCAGCGGATCGGGAGCCTCTGGCGCGCCCCAACCAGCCCGCCCGGTTAGCGCCTGGCCGGGGGAGGGGGCGGCGGAACCAGGAACAGGGGTAGAAATCGCACACCCTGTCCCCCGCAGGCCTCTCGGTGCGCCCCGGGGTGGGAGGCAGAATGGATGGAGTGGAGATCCAGGCGCTGGGCTTTCTCTGCCTCAGAGCCGATGGGTGACCTTGAGCGAGAGGGCGCCGCCTCTCCTTCCCCGTCTGCGCAATGGGGACTGGGTTCCGGGAGGGCTCCCCCAAAGGCGGCCCATTCCGGCTCCTTTAAGGCGAGACGCGCTGTCCGGTGTTTGGAGACCATTCCCTGGGCGCCATCGGCCTGTCCACCCTCCCCTGCCTCGGTTTCCCCCTCTGCCCTTTCCCCTCCCGGATCTGAGTTCCTGGGTCCTTGGCAGGTGCCCAGCTTCCTCCTCCTGCCAGCCGCAGCCCTGGAGACAGCACCCCCCCGACTGCTGAGGCTGGGCGGCAGCATGAAGGCTCAGGTGAGTGGTGGCGCCCTCCGTCCCCGCCTTCGGACCTCACTTGCTCCTCCTGGTGCTGTGCAGCCCTAAGCGAGTTGCATGCCCTCTCTGGTTTCTGTGTCTTGGTCTTCTCTGTTGAGTGGAGATCATGGTGCTACAAGGTCACCCAGGTGACAGCTGCCTGGGCGTGGGGAGTGAGACGAGAGCTTAGCTCAGCTGCTGTTGGGTTTATCCAGGAGACCCCTGGGAGAGGCACCTCGTGTGGTTTGGGGGGAGGGGGTTTGAGCCTTGACTGCCTGCCGAGGTCTCTGGGTGTCTGGTTCTTGTGGGCTTGTGGGCAGCGGCCCAGGTGCCAGGCAGAGGCTAAGACCTCGGGGGCTGACTGCCCTCCCCCACACAGCTGGCCACACAGAAGAGCCCTATTTTTAGAAGCTGATGAGGCTTGTGGGCAGAGAGGGTGGGCCTCCATCAGGATGTGGGGCGGGGTGGGGGTTCCCTCCCCACCTCTGAGTTTTGATAGCGCCAGCTGGCTTTCAGATGGTTCCCGAGGGGCAGGACGGGGAGCCAGCTGGCTTTCAGATGGTTCCCGAGGGGCAGGACGGGGGAGCTGTGCCTGCCGTAGACCCAGGCGTTGGTAACCGGGGCGGCCCGGCACACAGCGGCACAGCCAGGGCCCTGTCACCCCCAGGCGGCCCCTGTTGGTGGGGGCTTTCCCAGCATCCGCCACCCCACGCTGGGCCCCGCCAGCACTTCCTGGTTCGTTGCCTCTGGTGGCAGCTTTTCTTACTGAAGGCATTTTTTCCCCCAAATCGCTGGTTGCACCTGGACAGGTGACCCCGATCCACCAAGCCAGGTAGGGGTGGGGATGCAGGCGGCCGAAGGTCGGGCCACCTGGGGAGTCGCACCCAGGGCTGCGCAGGCCCCGGGGCTCCCGGCTGAGGGCCTCGGCTCTGCAGCCGGCAGTCGGGCCCCATCCTGCTGCCCTTGCTCTGCGGCCTTGAACGCAGCTCAGCCCTGGCTGGTCTCTGTCGACTTGGGGAGAGCAGAGTTGTCTCTGGGCCTGGCGCTGCCGAAGCGAGCCCGGTGCAGCCCCCGGGGGCCCCTCGCTCACTCCCTCCCCGTGGCCGCTGCCTCCCTCCCTCAGGGCCGGCTCCTGCTCGTGGTCCTGTGCTCTGTGGCCTTCTCCGTCTCCTACATCCTCTTGTGCTGCTGGGCCTGCCTGCCGCTCTGCCTGGCCACCTGCCTGGACCACCACCTGCCCACTCGCGCCAGGCCCACGGCGCCGGGGCCCCTGCACTTCAGCGGGTACAGCAGCGTGCCCGATGGGAAGGTAGGTCGCTGGGCGCTGTGTTGGAGGCAGGGCCAGCCAGGGTGCCCTCCCACTCCAGGGGGCCGGTGAGGCTGGGCTTGTGCCAGGCCAGCCTGGACCTTGAGTTTGGAGCTTGGTCCTTGCACATAGCAGCTGTGTGGCCTCACCAGTCCCTGAGCCCCTGAGTTGTGGGAGGCAGTGGGGTTTGGGATTAAGTGAGTCTTGGTTGGCTGCTCTTGGCTGGATGCCAGGGAAACAAAGGTGCTCCAGGCCATTGGCGGACAGACACATCCTGGCGCTGTGCACCTGCTGTGTGTCTTGTCCGTCCGCACACAGTCCCGTCAGCAGGCATGTACCACTTGGGCAGCCTTGTGTTGATGGCTGCTGCGGGCAGGCAGAGGGGGCGGGTAAGAGATATGAGGGAGACAGGGAAGGGGTCTGGGGAGGGGGAGAAGCAGCTGTCTTGCCCCCCCACTGCAGAGCAGTTCAGACCCCTCTCCCTGATTTCAGTGGCTCCTACATTGCGGGCTGCATCTTTTTTTCTTTTTAAGATTTATTTATTTATTTGAGAGGCAGAGTTACAGACAGAGAGAGGGAGAGAGAGAGAGGTCTTCCATCTGCTGCTTCAATCCCCAAATGGCCATAACAGCCAAAGCTGGGCCAATCCTAAGCCAGGAGCCAGGAGCCTCCCCCAGGTCTCCCACATGGGTGCAGGGGCCCGAGCACTTGGGCCATGCTCCGCTCCTTTCCCAGACGCATTAGCAGGGAGCTGGATCAGAAGAGGGGCAGCCAGGTGTGAAGCCGGCGCCCATGTGGTGATGCCGGCACCGCAGGTAGAGGCTTAACCTACTACGCCACAGAAGTGCTGGCCCCTTCTTTTTTTTTTTTTTAATTAATTTATTTAAAAAGGCAGAGTTACAGAGAGAGGGAGAGGGAGAGAGAGAGAGGTCTTCCATCTGCTGGGTCACTCTCCAAATTATTTCAACGGCCACAGCTGGGCCAGGCTGAAGCCAGGAGCCTGGAGCTTCATCCAGGTTTCCCATGTGGGTGCAGGGGCCCAAGGACTTGTGCCATCTTCTGCTGCTTTCCCAGGTGCATTAGTAGAGAGTTGGACTGGAAGTGGAGCAGCTGGGACTCGAACTGGTGCCCATATGGGATGCTGGGTGTCGCAGGCAGCAGCTTAGCCCACTGAGCCGCAACAGCAGCCCCGTGGCAGGTTTCTTAGTCAGGGAAAGCTGTGCGCAGGGCAGAAGGCTTGCAGTGTATGGTGCGCGCGATGGCGCTCGGGCTGCTGGTCTAAGAGGCGCGCCTGTCCTCAGGAGCCGGGCTCTGGGGAGACAGCGCCTGGGTGTCCTGGACTCTGGGTGTCCGGAGCCTGCCTCCGTGCGGGAGGATGGCCCAGCTCCTGGCTCTTTCAGCCGGCTCACTGGGGACAGCGTGTGCAACAGGT